ATATTTTTATAGCAAAGTTAAGTATACACCATCTAAAGTAAATACCTAATATAGTTTTACTTTCAGGACAGTTCTTGTATTTGTAATATTTTATAATGAAGGTTGAAAAATATAAATTTTTCATTTATTATCTCTGAAACTATCGAAATATATTTATTTATATCTTAGGATTATGTAAAGTGATCTGAAAAGAAGCCGAAAATGCAATAATATACGGGCTGTTTCATTTAAAAAAAATCATCCCGATCCACTCAAACTTTTTTTTCGCATTTCGTTGGAAACCTAAAAAAAATGATGTGTCTTAAGGCTCGAACTCACTGACGACCAGGTCGCAATGACCTGGCCGTCGGCTGGCCGGATGTATTGCGTTTTTAGCTGCGGCCAGATGAACGACCAGTTTCAACAGAGTTGTCAAATCTAACGATTTTTTACGTTTTACCAATTAGAAAATATTGTTTCAGAAATGTTAAAATATCCGAGTTAACTAAAAAGCGAAGTTGCTATTCACAACAAACAAAAGAATTGTGTACGCGCGACCGACAAAAGGGAGATATTCTGTTTCTTTTTTCTACTGATATGGCGCCCTTATCGACTTTAGAAGTAAACATATTAGGGCCATCGTAAAAAAAGATCGTCAGACACTGGCTCTAAATATAAGCAGGTAGAAAGTTTAGCTTCCAGTTATTTCAATGTTTACAATATAACGAAGAATCTACAACAGTAATTACTTCTATTTTTATGAATGTTTAAGTTACTTTCTTAATTTCTTTTTCAAAATAATGTACCTAGTGGAAATATGGTCTAATGAACCCTGCTTGAAAAACGTTAAAATAAACATAATATTTAAAATACAGTTGTCCTCCTTGTACATGACTACAATAAGTGGTTGTAGAAAAACTTTAAATATTATTTTTTTTATTTTTTAACATCGAAACTCAAAGGTATAATAACAGGTATCATACCAACCATAAATAGAGTAGGTATGTCATATAAAAATGTTTTGAGTTTTTACTAGAATCGACCCTTCATAAAAGAAAGGGATTAGATTTAAGTTTACCCTTTGATCCAGTCTGTTTACTATTTCTTTAGATTTTCTGCACGTGTGCAAAAACTACACTAAAACACTATATCTTATAGAAATAAAATATTGTGCCTTGAATTTGAGGGATTTCATCTGAAAAATTATTAATTTGGAAGAAAACCGGCAACAAGCGGCAGAAAATAATAATATTTCCGTGCAGTCTTCTGGTCGCAACGATCAACGGACGGCCAGGACGTTAGTGTGCGCTATATCATTTGATTTAATGGTTTTAGAGGTAGCTGCGGCCTGGCCGGTGCGACCTGGTCGTCAGTGTGTTCGAGCCCCAATACCGGGTCAAGACCAAGGCGACAAAAAGTAAACACGATTTTGAGACAAAAACAAGACAATTTACGACAAAAAATTGGGAATTCTGGCACAAGATAAATGGTTAGTTGTCGCGAATGAGTTTTATTAACCATGTGTGATTTCACTGGTCTCCTACTGTTGGCAGCACACGCCATCCACACTGCGCCGACAACTTGTCGCAAAATATACGAACAAAACATAGACACTTTGATCTTTACCGACTCGAGACGGGACTTTGAAAAGTCTCCAAATTTTGAAACAATAAAAATGAGACAAAAATATCGCAGAAATGTATTGGATTTTTCGCAATTTTGACGTAAGACATGAATGTTTCTGTCTTGTCGTTGCTTTGTCTGCTTATCCATATCAGTATAGTTTTCTAGTTTCTAATATACCCTAATATTTATTTTGGAAAAATTAGAATGACGATTTTGATCATTAAGATAATAATATACAGGGTGGTCCGAACTGTATTCCGGAAACTTCGGCGGCATATATTATTCTGCAAATGCATGTCCTAAAATGCTTGGTTTCGGAGATACAGGGTGTACAAATTACATTTTTACTTCGATTTTTTCCAAATAATTTCTGAAGTAACGTCAATATTTGGATGAAAATTAGTGTCCTGGAGTTTTTTGACATGAAAAATTTAATTTTGATGTCAATATGACTCCTACTAGTAGAGGGCGCCACCTACACATTTTTAACTAGTTTGAAGAGAAAAAACTTTTCGTCCGTACCTGTATAAAACTAAGTAAAAAATTATACACTTACGACGTTTTTTACGTAGAAAAGGTTTCTTGGTGAAAATCACTACGAGTAATAGTTTTCAAGATATTTTGAATCTATCAATACCTGTCATCATTGACATAAATTAAACATGTTGACTAAATATCGTATGATCGAATAAAAATGGCGTCCAGTTGGCTTGGATGACGATCGATGACATTTCCCATATAATTTTACATATAAAATGACAGCGATCTTCATTTCATAGCCATCGCTGACGCCGTTTTTATTCGATCATACGGTAGTTATTAGCCTGAAATCATAAATTTAAAATGTTTTTGTACCAAATGTTCCAACCAAAACAAACCAAACCAAACCAAACCAAACCAAACCAAAAGTTCAATAGAAACTGTTTTATCATATTTTTTTTTTGCAGAAAAAGTTATCCATTAGGTAATTAAAAAAATAACAATTTCCCAAATTTATTATTGCGTGTTTATTTTTCGTCAATAATGACATGTATTGACTATTTTCATTCTAAATATCTTGAGAACGGTTGCTCCTAGCGATTTTTAAAAAGAGATATTTTTTGCGTGAAAAGTACCCAGAGATGTATTTTTTTTTCTTGGTAGTTTTATACAGGTACGGACAAAAAGTTATTACGCTTCAAAACAGTTAAAACACAGGTAGGTGGCGCCCTCTACTAGTAAGAGTCATATTGACATCAAAATCAAATTTCTCATGTCAAAAAACTCCCAAACACCAATTTTCATCCAAATATTGACGTTATTTCAGAAATTATTTAGAAAAAATCGAAATAAAAATGAAACTTTTGCCTAGATAATGAGTACTATAAATAATAGCGTCATAATCTTCAGTAAATTTTAGATTTTTTTTGTTAGAACCATTTTCCCCTATCTGCTAAAATAAAGTGGTGGGGGAAGGTTAGATCTGTCTTTATTTAAATGTTAATAACTCCGGACTCTCTGGATGATCAGAATCAAATAAAGGAGAGCTCGTTTAAAAGAGCATTTCTTACTCTAATTATACCATAAAAATAATAATAATAAGGTTTTGAACGTAGAAGCTAAGGGGCGCTTTCTTACAATTTAACAAAAATAGTGCGTTTTTTCAAAAAAATTAAATACGATAGTATGTGTTATTTTAGCTGATAGTAAAGAGTAGTAAAAGGTTAAAAAGTCAGCGAAAACCGCATCTTGATATCTTCTTTCAAACCGAAGATATTAGCAAAATTATAATAAATACCAAAAAATAAACCCTTAATTACCTCATTTTTACAATACAGTATCAGTAGCCCTCTTGATTAGGCCCATTCTAACAAAAAAATAAGATAGAAACATTAGTTTATTTTAAAATCGACGAAATACCAGAATACCATAATACCAGATGTATTAATATCTAATAATTAAGATATTAATAATAGTGAACAAGAAACGATGATTCAGTGAAGTCATATTAGGCTTTGTTGCTAAACTAAAAAAGTTGCTTTTCACGTAATAGTATAAACGTCAAATTGTTATTAGATCAACATTTTGATAATCTTAGCAGCGTTTTTTTATCTTTTAAATGCTTTTTCAAAATGCCTTTATTATTTGAAGTAGTTGAAGTTGTTGGCATTTTGAAAAAGCAATCAAAATATAAAAAACGCTGCTAAGACTATCAAAATGTTGATCTAATAACAATTTGACGTTTATGCTATTACGTCAAAAGCAACTTTTTTCCAAAGCCCGCCATGACTTCACTGAATCATCGTTTCTTGTTCACTATTATTAATATCTTAATTATTAGATACTAATACATCTGATATTATGATATTCTGGTATATCGTCGATTTTAAAATAAACTAATTGTTTCTATCTTATTTTTAGGTTAGAATGGGCATAATCAAGAGGGCTACTGATACCGTGCTGTAAAAATAAGGTAATTAAGGGCTTATTTTTTGGTATTTATTATAATTTTGCTAATATCTTCGGTTTGAAAGAAGATATCAAAATGTCGTTTTCGCTGACTTTTTAAGCTTTTACTACTCTTTACTATCAGCTGAAATTACATATACTATTGCATTTATTTTTTTTTTTTTGAAAAAACGCGCAATGTTTGTTAAATTGTAAGACAATGCCCCCTAGCATCTATGTTCAAAAGCTTATTATTATTGTGTACAATATAGAGTAAGAAACGCTCTTTTAAATGAGACCTCGCTTGTTGGATTCCGATCATCCAGTCCAGAGTTATTAATATTCAAATAAAAACAGATCTAACCTTCCCCCACCACTTTATTTTGGTAGATAGGGGAAAATGGCTCTAACAAAAAATATTCAAAATTTACTGAAGATTATGAAGCTGTTACTTACAGTACACCTTATCTAGGCAAAATTGTGTAAAAACTTCACTTTCTTATTTTTTGTTGCAGTTGCGCCCCCTAGCGGTCGTTCTACAAACTTGTAAAGCAATTTTCCATAGCCTCTTTAGTTATAAACAATTTTTTCCGTAGCCGCTACGGCTAATACTTTCCGAGATACAGCCGAGAGCTATTCTTAGTGGGACACCCTGTACACCCTCTGTATCTCTGAAACTAAGCATTTTAGAACATACATTTATACGAACTTTTTTAATTATTTTTATATGCAGAATATTCTGCCGAAGTTTCCGGAATACAGTTCGGACCACCCTGTATATAGAACTCAGAATTTGTGAAGAAAGACCTATAACTATATTCTTATAAACAAATATGCACAACTTCTAATTTTTTAGATAGATTCATAATTTTTAATGATACATACCTCATGCTTATATTACCTTTTTTGTAATGTGCAAGGGTTATGCACAACAGTCCTATTTTAAACACACACACAATACAGTACAATTTCATTATTATTATAATAACTTTTATTATTTACACAAAATAAATATAATAAATGTTAAAACATTCAAATGCATGTATTTTATCTACAACTGCATTTTCTCTAATTTATTTGTCGCTTCTTTGTTACCTTGCTCAGTTTTAGCATCAGGCATGGTATTTGATATTGGCAATTTTGATTTCTTGTTCTCATCAGTCTCTTTTACTTCTGTTGTCCTAATTTTCGTTTGCAAACTAATTAGTGCTTTATCAATTTCTAGAACTCTCTCCTTTGTCTGAATTTTAATCTAAATATTAAAGAAAAAAATATACTATTTATCTGTTATGATTTTCTTACCTTATAAAATAGTAATAAAATGTCTGCATTATACACTCAGATGCAAAAAAATCGCAACGGAAAATTTTTTCGTCAACTTTAAAGTGCTATATTTTGTTTATTTTTAGCCGTATTTTATGGAATTTTTTAACAAACTGTATATAAATCTATCAACTTTAATTCATTTACTCAGTTTTTATAAACTTCAGTATTTCGCTGATTATACAGGGTTAATTGAAGGGTTGTTTTTTACCCTAATTTTAAAACACCCTGTGCAATAATTGCCTAAGTAACTTTTCCTGAAACATTATTTTTCGATCAAAACCATGTCTCCTAAGGATTTTGTTTTTTGATTCATGTCAACACATGGCTTGGTTAATTTTTAAGAGCGAAATTAATTACCAACAATTTGCAATTTTTGAACCAAACCAAACTACCGTATGATCGAGAAAAAACGGCATCAACGGCTATGAAATGAAGATCACTGTCATTTTATATGTAAATTTATATGGGAAATGTCATCGATCGTCATTTCCCAGCCAACTGGACACCGTTTTTTTACAGTAATAAAAATTTGCCTAACAAAGAAAAAAATGCTTAAAAAATAACTTCTGACAAGCAGAGTCCGTTTAGGTTTAACGCAGAAGTGTTTACAAAAAATAACTATTTTATTTTGTAGATTTTTCTTGCAGTGCAGTGGCGAAATACCCATAAAGGATTTTTTTGGAGAGATGAATCCGCCACATAGGTATAGACATTTTTTGTAATAACTATGTGTACAAAGAAACAAAAAAACTTGTAAAACATACTGTAATACTTTGTATTGCCTCCCCCGGCTGTTATAACTGTCTGTAGCGTCGGTTCATACTGTTAATGAGGATGTAAATATATTGTGTTGTTTTCCCATTCTTCTGCAACGACCAAGCAAATATTCATTTCGGCCATCTTCAACAAGATTATTGACTTTTACACAATTTTCGACTTTAAGAAAAATATTCAAGTGTACACAACGTACACAACCATAGTCATCAAAGCCACCTCGTCATTATGAAGAATAGCATCAAAAAGTAATGATAACTGAAAAAACTGCAAAATGTTTGTGACCAGATCATTTTGCTCTTAAAAATTATCCAAGGCATGTGTTGACATAAGTCAAAAAACAAAATATTCAGGAGACATGGTTCTGACCGAAAAATTATGATTTAGAAAAATTTGATCACGAAATTATTGCACCAGTGTGTTTTAAAGATAGGGTAAAAAACAACTCTTCAATTAACCGTGTATAATAAGAAAAATACTAAAGGTTATAATAAACTGAGTTTACGAATTAAAGTTGATATATTTATATAGAGTTTGCTAAAAAAATCAAGGAAATAGGGCTAAAAATAAAAATAATATACCTAAAACTTTAAACTCACCTCAGTAGGCTGAAACTGAGAAACAACGGCAAATGCAGATTTTGTGGGGAAAATGGGGAAACACCAGAACACCTTATCACTGAGTGCGCCGAGACGACGACCATTCGTGCCATGAACCTTGGCACGTCTGATGTCGAGGATGGAGAGCTGGCCTCTGTGGAGCCGTCTCAGATACTGGCTTTTCTCAAAGCCCTGAGACTGTATGATGAGTTATAACTCGTTATAACTCAAGAAAGGGGAACACACAATAGATCTGTAAGGTCGCGGTGATTAACTCCCCTTCTAAACATTCTACATTCTACAAAACTTTAAACTTGAAAAAAATTTCCATTGCGTTTTTTTTGCATCTAAGTGTATAATTTAATAATAATTTCCAAAATAATTATTATTCTATAATATTCTGTTCATTACACAATCTCTAATATTTTATAAATATTTATCCCTTTAGAGAAAAAAAAATAATTAGAGAAATATTCTTGGTAATTAAAAAAATTAATAAAAGTAAACATTAAATAGTTATTTAAACATTACTATTTTGGATATCATACATGCTGTTAATAAATAGGTTGTCAAAGCAACAAAATCATACTAACATTTTTTAGATTTGTTTTTACAGGTTTAGCTTTTGTCTTCATCTTTAAACTTTTTGCGCCCGCCACTTTGAAAACATTGCGGTTCTTGCCCATTGTCTAAAACTAAAAATAAAGTAAATTAATATACAAATTATATTAATAATTCATATCATTACTTATAGTGTCACTAATATCCTGTTCCTTTCTTTTAATTCCACAATTTCCAACTAAAATATCTCTGTCTAAATGTATAGTAACTCGCATCATTTCTTTCATGGAACTTACAGTCCTTACATGAAAGATATCTTTAATTTTTGTTGTTACGTCAATAGAGTTAACTTTCAAATTGTTAACAATAAGTTCTCTAACTATTTTTTCAGGATTATCACCTTTGGCAAAGCAGTATATAAAGAGGGTAATATATTGAAAACTTTTTGGAAGACTAATATCCCTGAATAACTCGACATATGTATTTAAAAATTCCACAGCTAAAGCTGGCAAATTCATTGTTACGAAAGTATTTTTTTCTGAATGATTTATTAAATTTTCTTTCACAATTTTTAAAATAAACTCACGACCATCTAAATTGTATCCTTTGAGATTTGAGTCAGAAATTTTGTTTAATTTCTTATTATGCATTAGCCATTTATATGATTCTGGATTAAGATCGTTTGCATAAACTATGCAGCCTTTTTTTGCACAAGGTATAGCAAAAGGTCCCACTCCAGAAAATGCATCAAAAAGAACATCTCCTGTTTTCAATGTTTTAACAATTCGCTCATGTTCAGTACAAAGTCTAGAATTCCAATAAACACTGGAGAAGTCAAATTCAAATTTACAATTATTTTCTTTTACCGCTGTAACCATATTGTTTTCTCCTTTCAAAAGTTCCATTTGAAAGTTTCGATATGTATTATCAATCATGTTCACTTTATTGACAACTGACTTGCATCTTGGAACTTTATCATACAGTACTTCACCTAAAATATTTTAATCTATTATTAAGAACAAAAATTAAAAATATACCTAGTTCATTACCTATGAGATGTTTAAAAGGCAAAAGATGTTCTCTTAAGTTAATATGAACAATGTGACCAATTTGGGTAAAACTGGACATTCCCTCCATATTTTGAGGCAAGACAGCATTCAAAATTTTATCAATAGAATAATTGTCATATTTAAGCATCAAAGCTTTTAGGTCCAAATTTCCTTCACCAAGATTTAGAGCTTCTAATTCGATTCTTGTAGTTTCAGGGAAATCATTCCACGTCTTAATCAAATCAGGATTCAAATAAATATGAACATTACTTTGACAAGCACTATCGACAGGTTTAAAATGTTCTAATTTCAAAAGATATTTCTTCAATAAAGGAAGGACTTTTGAAATATTTGAATACTCAATATTGAAAGTAGGCACATCTACTGTTTTATCAAACGCACTTCTATCTAATTCTTCCATTAAATATACTTTCTCTGGTGGTATTAAAATACTTTTCATGTTTATTTGTCCAAAAAGGTTTTTGAAAAATCCGATTCGTTGGAAATTGTGAAAAACTAACGACAAAAAGGACTTCATAAAACACATATGTTATTCTAGAAAATCATACCTGTATACAAATCTATCCAAGATATAATGACTAATGAGGCATAAGGTCTGCGAAGCAAAAGAATCATAAAAGATCACGTACAAAATTTTAAAAAGTTAGGTTAGGTGAAGAAATTCGAGGTTAAGTAGTATATTAGTTTAATGGCCACAGCTGCCAGGGCTATCCGGCCGGATGGTAGAATTAACTACCTACGGTTGAGCGTTTATATAGATGATGACACACAGACGAGGATCGCTATAAAGCGAGCCTGGGAAATCCCATACCCCGACTGTTGAGTTGAAGAAAATGTTGGCAAAGGAAGAATGGTAAGTAGTAAGGTAATACAAATTAGAGATGTGCTTTTAAATTTTTTATAACACAACCCTGTTCCCTTTTTTACAAGCAAGATACAGTAGGGAACAGCGAGAAAGTCTTTTAGCCATATCTCTGGTTGCTCTGGAAAAAGTCATGAAAATTAATCATAGAAATTGACTTTTTTTTAAATCCTATTTTTGAAGCCTCATTCATAGATAAAACGCTGATAAAACGGCATCTTATCACAGAACAGATACAAATTACAGATTTGTATCTGTTCTGTGATCTTATCTACGATATCTATTATCGATATACAGGGTGTTTCAAAAGACATGTGCCATCTCTCGTGGGGAGATACCTCACGTAAAAATAAGATTTATTTTTTATATCAACATAGGTCCGATACTGCTTTGTTTCGTAGCTGCAGGGTGTTTTTTTAAGTCTTAATAATATGTTTTCGATTTATTATAATTTTCTTCCAAGTCCTTTTAGGGTTTCGAATGAAATATTGAGGGTAAAAGTTACTATAAATATGCTATAAATACGACATATTTTGAAGCCATTGTGCGCGTTCAGGGAACACAGCGGCTGACCGACCGCTGAGTATTTTGCTCAGCGGCTGACTATTTTTGCGTGTAAAAAAAGACCGTTTAGGGAAACCGCTTACTCAGCCACTCAGCCACTGACCGTCCCTGAACGCGCCCATTTTGAAGCTAAAAAAATGTTGACATATTCACCAGGGGCGTGCATATTGGCTATCACTGGAATATTTTTCAAAAAAGCATGTACGCCACAAGTGTACGCCACTAACATTTTTTTTTAGCGAAATAGTGTAAGCAATTTAATGCCGATTAAAAGTTGTCTCTTGATATTTTGTCGATCTCAGCCTCCTTGATGAGATAGGCTAATAGCAAGCTTTTAAAAATTTTAATATCATTAACTTGCGAAAGCTTAAAATAAGTACCCATGGATTCCTCATCTGAAAAAAAGTTCCTATAAACACAAGGGTATGCAAATGCGTAGTTTTAAAGTTACAGGATGATAAAACTTTTTAAAATTAGATTTAGAATTATTATAGAAATATAATTTTTTTAATTATCTTAAACACCCTTATTTTTTTAATTTAAAATTGTTGTAGGTTGGACTAATAGTAATAATAATTTAATAATAAATTAGGTAAAATATATACCTAATTTTTTAATTTATTTTTTATTTTAATTTTATTAATTGTGATTAATAAAATTGCGTTTATCTCATCAAGGAGGCCGAATTCGACAAAATATCAAGAGATAACTTTTAATTGGCATTAAGCGGCCTACACAATTTTGATATTAAAAGAAAAAAGTCAGTGCCGCACGTTTTTTTTTGAAAAATATTCCAGTGATAACCCATATGCACGTCCCTGATGAATTTATCGACACTTTTTTAGAATGAAAATATGTAACACTTATAGTAACTTTTAGACATCAAATTTCATTGGAGTCACTTAAAAGTACTTGGAAGAAAATTATAATAAATCGAAGAATTATTATAACACCCTGTAGCTACGAAACAAAGCAGAATCGGACCTATGTTGATATGTAAAATTATATGAGGAATGTCATCAATCGTCATTTCTGAACTGAACGCGGTTTTTTTCGATCATGCGATATCCAGCCAAGACAATGCTAATCTAATATTTAGCATTGTCTTGGCTGGATACTATGAATGGCTACTGGATACTGTTCATCACCATTACAAAATCGATATAAAAACTTAATGTCTGTTCAACGGGAGGATTCCTAACAGTGACAGATGTGTCTGTCATTTTAATTCGTAGATAAATTGTATTTGCTGTTATTTTTTGGATGTCGTCTATCGAAATCTTTCTTCAGTCGTTGGACAGACTAAATTTATGTAGTAAAAATAAATTATTGACTCAATTCTAAATTACGGCCTTATAACCCAACTCTAAATTAGAGCCTTAACATAGATCAGATTTATATGCGAGTCTGCGAGTCCGACAAGGTAGGGAAGATTTCGACAAACGATATCCAAAAAACGGCAGACTGTCCCTCTCACGTATCGTCTCGTTAGACAGACTATATGTTATATGTATACATTCTCCAGCGGAAGAAACAGAATTCACAAGAAATATCGAAAAATTTACTTTTTAATTCAAATGGCAGACAACCACATATAAAAGAATTATCTCTAAATAATTACTATATCTATTATAACTACCGTATGATCGTGGAGAGCTGGCCTCTGTGAAACCGTCTCAGATACAGGCTTTTGTTAAAGCCCTGAGACTGTATGATGAGTTATAACTCGTTATAACTCAAGAAAGGGGAACACACAATAGATCTATAAGGTCGCGGTAATTAACTCCCCCCTAAACATTATACATTCTACATGATCGAAAAAAAAAGCGGCAAGCAGGCTCGGAAATGAGCATCGATGACATTCCCCATATAATTTTACATTTAAATTTTTTTTATAAGCGATCTTCATTTCATAGCCATCGCTGACGCCGTTTTTTTACAATCATATTGCACATATATACAGTTAACTGTTATAAAGACTGTCCATCAAATCAAGGAAGACTTGACAGACGACATCCAAAAAATGACACATAATACACAATTCGCCTATGAATAAAAAGTGGCACACACAACTGCCACTGTCAGTGATTTCGTTGGACAGACTACATATTCTTTCACTGCACATACTTAGTAATGAAATAACTTCATGGTTAACATACATATCTAGGTAAAATGTAAAAACCAATTGTGTGTCATGATATATTTTAATAGAGTCAATCGTAAAATTACAAGTGTTAGCTAATTAACCACTAGGTATTTTCTTAGTAATTAATATTATCATAAAATACCTACCTAGCATATGTTATATTTCACTTATATTCTTAGGACTATGTACATGTATCAGCTAATTATATACAACTTCTAAGACAACCTAAATGATACTTATTACTCTAGATAGGTATAAAACAACTACACAAAAATAAATAAATGAAAAAAAAATAATGATTAATTATTTCAATATTGTAATACCTAATGTGTGTATAATATCTGCATTTAATAACATTTATTAACGGTTTATTCAAATTCTGCAGTTATATGCTATATATTCGATAGTATACTTTATGTTGTTGATATTCTATCACCATATTATTTTGTAATAGTTTTCGAGAGAAAATTTTAAGAAAGCTGGCTCTTTAATATATCTTTTGCTATTTTTCTTTGGAATAGCGTGCGGGCCGTCTGGCTGCCGGATAGACGTTACGTTCACAACTGCGCATTGAAAGAAGATCCCATATTTTTTTTATTTAGTCCGTTAAATTCTAGTATTGAATATAAATCGAGCAAATCTCCATAACGCGGTGCGAAAAAGTTCCGCCTATAAAGCGCCGAAACAAAAAAAGCGCGAGTTCGAAACCGGCTCGAGGTGAACTTTTTTTTATTTTATTTTCGTTTATAGTCTGATAGTAAAGTATTAAATAATTCTGGTGATTAAAAAAATCAAATATGGCCCGCGCGCTGTTCCAGAGAGCATAGTAAAAGATATATCAAAGAATCAACTATCTTAAAATTCTTGTTTTCCCCACGTTCGTTGGTAGCTCTCGTACTATAAATTTCTGTCAACAATATAAAATTACTATAAATTGATTTAAAATTTTATTAGATAAAAAATCAGTCTTCATATCTTCAAAATATGGCATTTTTATAAAGTTTAAGTCAAGCAGGAAACTTAAAAACCAGGAAAAAACGTAAATGTGTACTCATATAAATATAATAAATTTGTAAGATAACGTATGATCGAAAAAATGGTGTCAACCTTACAAATGCCGAACGATATCAATTTCTGTATAAAATTATATGACACATGTCATCGGTCGGCTTTCCTATGATGTCTTGCAAGCCATATATTATTATTTTTTCGATCATATAGTAGTATATACCGGGTCCGTCTCAAAAGTGGCTCACCCCCTATAACTTTTTTATTTTTTCAGATAAAACAACGAGATTTGGTATGTTAGTATATGACATAAATTGGGATTGATTAACGTATTCAATTGTTTTCGGTCACTTCCGGTTTCACCGTTCAATTTTTTCAAATGGAACGAGGGTGGCTCATTAGCATATTTGGAAAAAGCATTTTTTTACGAATAATTGGATACCACACACTTGGTATTTTGAGTAAAATTGTCGTTATGAACCGCATGTTAAAATTTCAAATAAACCATATACCAAAATGTCAAAAGTTGACATACGATATGTCATTCGATTCAGAGTGTCATTTTATATCGAATAAAGTAAAAAAATACCGAGAGTGCCATTTAAAAATCAAAAGTTGCAGTAATTTCCGGTGAAACCGGAAGTGACCAAAAACAATTGAATACGTCAATCAATCCCAATTTATGTCATATACTAACATACCAAATATCGTTGTTTATCTGAAAAAATAAAAAAGTTATAGGGGGTGAACCACTTTTGAGACGCACCCGGTATATATAATAATTACTGATAATTCAATATAATGCACTTGGAGAATATATAATTATTTTTTTATTTATAGTTCCTTTTCACTATTTCATCGAAGCCCAATGACTCTTAGAATTCCTACACTTAAAAATGATCAATCATGCCACGCATAAAATTCAGTATATAAAAGTCTACCCAACAAATCAGAGATTTCGACAGATCCAAAAAATGACATAAAATGCAATATACCTGTAATTTAAAATGACAGACAACTATGACTATCGTTGCACAGACTTTAAATCTGAATCTTAGGATATAAAATGATTCTGTACAAATCTCACATTCTATCTAAGCAAAACAATTAGAAAGATAAAACTAATAAAAAGGCAATATTTATTTTTATTCAACTTTAGAAAATGTAAAAACTTTTAACGTTGATTAAACAAATAAGAAGATGCGCAACCTTATGGCGATTTCGTGGCACAAAACCTGGCCGAGATGTAGGTGGCAAACCTATT